TCTTTAGTAATCTGGAAGTCCTGAAGATAATACAATGCGAAAATTTTGATTTTTATGGGAGCGAGTTGATAGAAGATCCGAAGGCATTCAAGAAAATAAGGAAGGTCAAACTTGATTGCTGTGTGGGAATTCCTACAGAGTTTATGAAAGTTTTGCTACAAAGGTGAATAGTCGCAATTAATCGTATTGAATTTTTTTTTCAAAGATGAAAAATATATATTTATCATTTTTTTTCTTTAGAGCCGGAGAAAATTTGAGAGACCTGAAGGTAAATGGCTTGCCGTGCTTTGCGGAGATATTACAATGTTGCATTTTGTATTGTCACGGGCTAAGAAGTATTGAGACAACAATAGATAAACAACATTTGGATTTGTTTATCGGTCTGCTCATGGTTTGTAAGGACTTGAGGGATATATCGGTAGATGATATTAAATATGATCCCTTGAATGCACCAACGCCCGCAAATTATATTATTGATGACGACGACGAGTATTTTATCAACAGATATAGTCAGAGAAATCCGAGGTCGCAAATCATCGATCACACGGCAACCGAGGAGGGAAATGAATTCTTGGAGAAGATGGCAAAAGTGCTTCCTCCTTATTTGAAAACTTTTCGTTTCTATCTTGATTGGTGGTTCACTCCGAAAGCACTTGAGACATTTCTGGAGGGAGCGAACTGTGAAAACCTGGAAACCTTGGATTTCTCGAGGTGTGAGACATTTTCGGAAAAACATTTGAATGTGGTGCTCAAGTATTGCGGAGGAAGCTTAACGAAGCTGCTCCTATGTATCAGCAAGAATATATCGAAGGAAGGATTGAGCAAAGCAAGGAAAATGATCCGCGAGATAGAGTTTGCGGACGACGAGGAAAAGTTTTGCGACGAGTATCTGAGAGAAATTCAAGATCGTGAAGAATTGGGTGATCCATACTTGGATTTTGATCTTGATCCCTTGAACAGAGTGCTTGAAGATGAACTTGGATTCGGTTCACAATATGACCTTGATCTTGACTTGGGAGAGTTGGATGTCGAAGATAGTTTCAGTGATGAAGAAAGCGAAGATAGCGACGAGGTCAGCAGCTATGATCATTCGGATGATGAAGAGTCAGATGGCGATTATTCGGATGATGGTTATTCGGATGATGATTGTTCTGACGATGACTGTTCTGATGATGACTACTCTATTGACGAGTAGTAATTCATTTTCTGCTTACACGTCGTCTTTAGTTATCCTGGAGATGATTCGCTATCTAATCCAAATTCATTCGAGTTTGGTGATAAAAATTCTCGTTATTGCGATTTGCCGCAAGTATTGCTTCTGAGTTAATTATCTCTTTGTAATTATAGGGAGAGTGTCATTATGGATACTTAAAATTCAAATCTGACCTCCAAATTGTAGTTCCCTATTCGGATATAACAAACACCGTAAAAACTTTCTTTTTCTTTTTTCTTTTTTTTCAAATAATAATAAAAACAATAATTTTAGCATTTATTTCATTCGACTAGATACATGTATGTTTCAATTTTCTTTGCATTTAACTGGAATTTTATATTCACCATCACCTTAAAAAGAATTACTTTTCCTTTTATTCATATGTACCTGCAGCACGAGATAGTCTAGGAAATTCTCTTAATAATTAGCAATCCACTATTATTATGCCTTGTCTCTGAAACCCTAATTCAATATGTTCACTTATTTAGAGATAGTAATCATTTAATTCATTCATCTGATTTATTACATTTTTTAGGAGTTTTCGTGTTATTATTGCACTTGAAATATGAATTAAAAAACATCAATTTATTATAATATAAATCTTAGTGATTATTTTTTTTCAGAGATTCGTTCTTGTCTGTTTTGTTGTACACCTCATGGAGCATCTAAATGTAGAAATTGCATTTTTTTAAAAAAAAAATCGTCTTTAACTACTCATTGAAAAGTTATAAAAGCCTTATATTTTGCAATATACAGAAATCATGTATACCATCATATGATCGTATGAGAGTTGATCAGAAACAATACGGTTTTGTCATTCTAAACAAACCAACTGTTTTAGTAAGTAACGCATATACAGTCTGTTATATTAAGGAAGCCTTCGATTATTGGAAAGGGATTATAACATTGATTTTAACTTTTCGAGGTTAGTAAGTGCTATAGAATGATCGCTACAATACATATTGGTCTTTGTTCTCTATCGCAACTGCTATACGGCTTCTAAAGCTGATCAAAAACCGTTCACCTGAACGCCATCTAAAAATGTGTTATGAATTTCTTTTACGTGTACGTGCGTGTTGTTATGTTTAGTATTACTCCTTGATATATTTAGGTAATATTCGGAGTTTTGAAAATTTTTTCATTGCATGTTTACGCGCACAGTGCGTACATATTAATTATGTTCGTATGCGCATACGCATAAACGAATTACGTGTCATAACGTGTTAGAAAATCTTTCTTTAAAAAATAAAATGGTAGCTAAATAAGCTCAATATACTGTATATATTATTTGATAATTAAATTCAAAGATGTATAGCTTTAAAATATAGGAAAATACATTCATTATACAGTATATATTCTTATTTAAAACATTGCATAATATCTTTGGCTTTTTTAAAACAAGAAAATTTTTTAGATTACCTGTATCAATTACATTTAATTTTATCTGATTTTTTATTCAAATATTTTTTTTTGTCATAAATGTAAAAATAAATAATTAATTAATTCGAAATCATAACTACTGTATATATAGTATAAAGGACTTGAGGTTTTTTCTAAAAAGATTATATAAAAAATAAATAAAAATTTTTAAAGTCTACACTATTTTTTTTTCTGTAAATAAACATCACTTTGTTATTTATTAATATATTACTATAAATAGCTAATATTAAAAAAATAATATTAATGCTAAATATAGACCAAGTGGTGGCTATGTACCTATTTAGAAAAAAAAAGTTTAAGATATAAAGAAAATTTTAAAAGAAAAAATAAAGATAACTAAACCTAAACCTAAATTAAATAAACTATAAAATATATAATAAAAAAAATTATATTTTTAAAAGAATCTTTAACCAAACTTGTTATTTGGATTCTTTGATTCTTTATAACTTGTAAGTATAATCTTTGTTAACATGAGTGATAAAGTACATATGATTTGATTTGTTATTAAAATCTATAAAAAAAATTTTTTTTTTTTACTTTATTTAAAAACAATAAACCTTTATCAAAAATTCCAAACTGAGTATTAAAATAATACCAACTTCATATTAACCTATAATAAATTTAATATATAAGTTATAACTTACTATAAACTTATAATAAATTCAATATCAACTTAATACTAAAATATTATTATTAAAAATCTTACATTCATCAATTTTTTATTATTGATAATTTGAAAAAAGTATAAATTATAATTAAAATAATTTTTGACTTCTATATTATTCCAATAAACTTATTAATTGTTTAAATTAAACCTAATTAATTCTACTAGTCCAAATTTGGCTATTTGGCTACCAAATTACAGCCGATTAAATCTAAATTTATTAATAAAAATTTATATCAAAGTTTTGTTGTTTGGTTTGATTTATGTCATTCGGCACTTAAAAAAACTCCAATAATTTGACAAAAAAAATATAACATTCAGCAATAAAATTATTTGGCAATAAAATCATTTGACAAAAAAAATAATAACATTTGGCAATAAAATTATTTAGCAAAAAAATTATTTAACAAAAAAATATTTCTAGTTAAAAAATCCTTGGCAATAAAGTTATAACATTCTGTAATAAAAATTATAACATTCAACAAAATTATTTAGCATTATATACTTCAGTAAAATCAAATTATATATTTTTAATAAAAAAATTGCATTTATAATAATATTTAGCAAAATTTAATTAATACTTGATAAATTTATAAAAAATATAAAAAATATAAAATTTGAAATAATTATTTACTAGTTATTTATTAATTATTTACTAATTTTTCACTAATTAATTATTTGACAATTATTCGTATATTATTCACTAAATTTCTCTATTTCTTTATCTGAATCTTTTTGCTTATAATCTTCATCTTTTTTCTTTTATTGATTTTGCTATGGCCTTTGTAACTCTCAAAGATTTTATAATGCCAAGTTTCCTTTGCTTTGGGATGTTTTTTTGTGCTTCTTGTGTTTCTTATGATTTTTCTTTACTTTTTTCCTTTAATATTGCTTCCTGAATTTCACCTATTTATGTACTTTCTCCAGTTGATGCTCCTCTCCTTCTGAATACATAAGTAATTTGTTATAATCAGATATCCTTCATCTTTTATGTTTTTTTACCAATTGTTTATCTTTTTTATTTTGTTCTATTTCTTGCTTTTCATTCTCTAATTTACAAGCCCAACTCAGCATGTTCTCTGGTGAGATTATATTATGACAATAAGAATTGCTATAGTTTTATTTACAAGTTGTTTGAAATAGTTGAATCAACTTTGAATATTTATCCAAATTTTTCAATAAATCTTTCAACTATAAAATAATTAGTAATAAATTAATTATTTGGTATAAAATCATTTATTAAAAAATATCTCATCAGAATGTCAACTATAGTCATATATGTTTATTCTTCTTTTATTGTCATTTTCTGAATCAGTTTCACTTTCTTTAGCCAAATAGACTCTTGGTTCTTTAATTATATTGATCAATTTCTTCCAATATCTTGCAATACTCTTGGACTTTTTGTTGATAAGTGACTGTGTACTTTTGATTCTTCATACTCTTTTTATTATTATTCAATAAAAATCAATACAAATAATATAATATAAATGTTAATTAATTTTATCTTATTTAATCAATTATTTGTATGTAAGTGACAATTGTTTGTATCTAGTTTTCCTGTTTGTATCTTTTGATATCTTTTTCTTTGAAGATGATATAAAGTACCTAACCAATTGTTCAGCTACTTTCGTGATGGATTAAAATGTGAGGCTATTAATTTTAATAATTCAGGTATTAACATGCTTAATATTTTTTTATTCGCATCACTTGAATAAACTTCGTCTACCCTTAGTTGAAGTTTTTTAGAAATAGTTTTCACCAGAACCTTCATTTCAGCTCTTGTCTCCTTTTTATTTTTATCTTTAAAAACAGCTTCTGGAGGTTTGGCTGTTTCTATTACTTTGACCTTTTCGACATCTTTATCCTTTTTGACATCTTTATCCTTTTCGACATCTTTACTTTTTTCAATACTTTTATTCTTTTCTTTGGGCTTAATTCTTCAGCTCTTTATATTTGTCATATTTTCAGAATTTGAAATTATATATTCAGTTTCAGCTTCAGACATAGGTTCAGGTTGGTTTTGAGATTTGGATATCACTTTTGTAGTTTTTACAACTACTATTGGCGCTAATGCCAATTTATGCGGTTTTAGTTGTTCATTTTTCTTATTTAGATATTCAATATACTTCTTTTGCTAATTTAATTTGTTAGAAAATATTTTATTTATATATTCCAGTATAATTAATTGTGTCTCCAAATTGACATTTGCTTTTTCTAGTTCATTTACCTTCATATGTAATTTTTCATTTTCTAAATAAATCAACAAATTAGTAAAAGTAGGTTTTATAATTTAAAAATAATTTAAATTGTACTTTTTTCTATTTTCTCTTGAGTTCGAGTCACAGACTTTAGTTCAGAAGTCGATATTCGTGCAACTTCAGTTGCTAAGCTTGCGAATAATGAAAGAGATAGCCTTCTTTTAAACAATTCAGTTGCTATTACAGAAATTGAACCTTCAATACTAGTGATTGTTGCATACTCTACTGCCATTAGTGACAGACTCACCAGGAGAGACGTCAACAATATATTATGAAAAAATTTCTCTATTGATTAGCAGTAAAGTTTGAAAAACCTTTTTTGCAATTTATTTTTCTTGGGATTTGACCAATGTCAGATAGTACTTGAAAATTTTTCATTGTTGCTTATATTTTATCTAATGCATTATTTGTCAATATCCTTTCTTCAATCCATATTCATTTAATAAGCTATTTATCAATATCTAAAAAAAGACAGTATATTGGATTAATGACCAAATACCAAATAGAATCAAAATAGGGTAAGCAAAGAAGCTCAGACTATCTAGCTAGATTCTTATTAACAAAATGCTTTCATGCTATATTTGTATTACAATTCCTCTATTCAGTAGCATTTCGTATAT